AATTTTTACAACAGGGAATCTATCTTCTTGTATTTTGTCAGTCGACTGCGTCGCCCATAATGAAATAGTTTTTGCACGGTCGTTTCCGCGAGAGAAGAAGAACACGTCACAGACAAAAAGGAGCCAGTTGAATCCTCTTCCTCTTAGTTAAAGATAAGATCCGCTTTTTATCAAAATGTCAAATGGGGCTTTCAAACAGGATTGCTTAAACTCACTTGCTGTACAAAATTGTTTTTCGAAATTATGAAATCATTAGATATTATGATAACTTGTACCTTTAATCTAAAAGAAGAGGTTATAAAGTATGTTTTTGACCCATAAAACCTGACAATTTGCATTCAGAGCATCACAATCAGCGATTTAACGATTCGTGAGCGCTCACTATGAATGAACGCTCACGAATCATAAAATCACTGATTGTGACGCTCTAAAATCTAAATTGACATATTTTATGAGTCAAACACATACTTTACAACCTCTTCTTGTAACTTACAAGTACTAGTTATCATTATAACATCTAATGATTTTAAAATTCCCAATTTTTTGTTATAGCAAGTGAGTGTAAGCAACCCTGCTTTCAAATACGACAAGGTTACTCCGTGGTCTACAATCGTGCATGTTATAAATCAAGAGCAAATTTTCATTATGTCGTAAGTAACATTCGCACCAATCCGAGACAAATAAAGTTTTGTTTTGATGACCGAAAAGTTATTCCTATTTCCAAGTAAACACATATAATCTCATAGTGATAGCAATGTTTAACATATTTAGCAGGGTTTTAATCATACAAATGCAAATCGCTAGCTTTCGTGCTAAAAAATACTGGTTTTTGAGTCAAAAGTTATTATACGTCGTTTGGTGGCCCCTATTGTTACTTAAGTCAAAGTGTATTTACCAGGATATTCGGGAGAATTATCAATTACGTCTCCTTACGTGCAGCCCATTCATCATTTTAGGACCACTGAAATCATCTTAGCAACAAACAGTTCGATTTATTCACTTTAATAATGAGAAAGCGAAACGACGAACGTACACTTTTCACGGGTTTCTCAGCGCTGTTACTTAAGTCAAACGGCATCTCCATAGAAATTGGGTGACTTAAGTAACATCGAAAACTATTTTGATCGGAAGGTGATTACGTCAAAAAGCAATTTGGCTGGCAAATAAATTTAAAAATGGGATTTGATCCTATATTCGGACAGTATATTGATCAGTTCACGAAGATTTGCCGCACTCTTCTCTCACCCGTAAGTTTTGACAGTTTTGGGTGGTTTGTTTTGGCTCCCATTCGTTGCTATCTTTTTTACTCAGAAGTAAAATGATAGGGAGCAAAAAGTGAGGTTAGGGACCGTGCACTGATCTATAGTGTAATAGCAGGAGAATCGATTGACACTGATAGCTCGACTTTGTTTACCTTTGTTACATTCGACGTAATGAGAACTTGCTCTTGAAATAATCAATCGAATAATTGTTTCAACTTACTAATCAGGATGGCGTAAACAGTGATTTCCAGATCCCAATCATCTAGCAAATGATTCCAGAGCTCCGGTATTTCATCTCTTTCTAAACCAACAATAAACTTCCATTGAATGTATAATACTCTATGTTTATATTTATGTATTCATACCGTTGATGAGCTCCACTAAAGAGCCTGAATTTATAAATAGACGACATCTTATCCATTTGACAGGTCTTCTGCTCTATTGGAATGACTTTTCCTATGACTTTGACAGACAATCGATTATTCCAATTTTGACATATCGCCTCTTTATAAATTTAGGCTCTTTAAGCTCCACATCAGCAATAATATCGTCACTTTTTTATCTGCCATTATTTCCAACTTAATGGCACTTTGGTAACTGCTCTTTTTTCAAAATGGCGATCAAGCAAGAATCTGCAGTTACCATGGTTCGTCATGAAATAGTAAAAATTTCATTTTTCAATTGAACAGTATTTCTCTTGATATTACCATATACAGATGGTAACATGGTAAAATTGAAGTTATTGTTTTAACCATGAATGTTATTAATGGTACTTGCTCAATTTTAAGGTGAGCATAGTAATTTTGTTGGAATCATAGTCGTTTTGAAATAAATTTTGGTAGATTTGACTATGAACTGGTGTGGTATATTGTGTGTGGCAGGATATTTTCTCAAAAAGGGGTTATACCATCTGTCGCAACAACTCGTTGCGCCGCACCACACATCCAACTGCAGCGATGGTACGTACCTAGAAATGTTAATACATTGTCCGCTCTGACGTACCCCACTATCGGTGAGTCACCGGGACAAAACGCCAGGCAGACAGACAGACATACAGGCACAGATCAAAAGAAAAGGCCGTAATCGAAGAAAATGTATTTATTTAAATTCGATATAATTCCTACTTATTGCTAGTGAAAATTAATTAAAATTTGCTCATCCTATTTAAATTAGGGAATATAATGCATTTGGTAATAAAAGTGAACTAGAACTAATAGTACGGTGAAACAGTACAGTGAAATAGTACATAGTACGGTCGTAAGCGTAGGTTAGTTTATGCAGTGATGATGCAGAAAATGAAACTAAACCTAGAATCACTTATTATATAGCTGCTACTCGGGAATCTACGGGACTTTCACGCATATTTAAAACAGACACAAAACACATTGAAAGCAGGTAAAATTTCATAATTGTAACCTAAATTAGTTGAAAATTTGTTATTCATAACCTAACCTAAGAATCTAATTTACAGTGATCCCATCACCGATCGAACAACTAAACACAAAAAGGGACACAAAACGTAAGTCTCTTTATACACAAACCAGTAAACTTACCTAATTATCGTCTAAGAATAATCTAAAATTACTATGTACAACAGAAACAAAAACTTATACTACTGTACATTTAAATTTTCATTCGTTAGGGATTTTTTAACGTTATCACTAGAAATACAACGTTCAGAAATTCGGAAAAATTGTCTCCTTCGTTGCAATCGCAACACCATCTGTTTTCTGTTTATGGCCGTACGACTGCGCCCATTGACGAGTGCACGGATGGATTTGAGTTCACTCACTCGACAAAAAGTGACACAACAGCGGGGCCCTGTTTACTAAAAATGAACATATATCTCGCGTCACTTTTCAAATCGACCAATGTAACAAATGTAAACAAACCGAGTTAAGCGATACAAACTGTTGCTCTTCTTTCATTGTATGTCATACAAAAACATCCATCCAAATTCACTTTCATTTATTTAAGATAATCATAGGTAAAAAATTGTCCAATGTACAGTTTGAAATGATGGGTACATGATTGTTACTTCGGTCATTCGGACTGCCTAACATGATTGGTGCTCATTTTTCAAAGGCGGGGCCAATCTAAAGTTAGGTACTATACTCTGAAATCTGTGAAAGGGAATCTAGTATCATGTAGACAAAACGTCCAATGTAACACTCATTGATTATGTCATTGAGAAAAATCGTCCAATGTAACATGTCCGATGTACAACTCTACTTGTCAAAACGTCCTATGTGGTTTTTTCTATGTTGTAGCATGAAATTCAAAGTAAAATTATGATTTTACCGTTTCTTCTGAATTTTCAACTTTATTATACACTGGCTACATTAAAAATAGTATTGCAAAATGTATTGTTTTTAAACAGTTAAATTAATAATCTGTCGAACTTCAACTTCGATTTTCTCAAAATGGTGGATATGTTACATTGGTCTATTTGAAAAGTGACGCGAGATATGTGTTCATTTTTAGTAAACAGGGCCCCGCTGTTGTGTCACTTTTTGTCGAGTGAGTGAACTCAAATCCATCCGTGCACTCGTCAATTGATTTAACACAAGGCGGCTCTTTATCAAGGATTCGCTCCTCAAACCGCTGCCATAAAATACTATCAAAGTTACACACCTGTGTATAATTCTTATGGGCGGGGTTGCATCAACAATCAATATGAAACTAACGATTTTAAATTTGCTCACTACTTGACTAGCCTATTGGTCCCAAGCAAATCGATTAACGCACCCCATTCTGGTCGAAATTCTAGTACTACACAATGGTTGTTTTGATTCGCTATGAAAGTTTGACAGATAAAATTAGGGGTTCGTGGATTTTCCTATGTTTCGAGGGGTGCATCGATTAGCTTGGGACCAAAGAGAGTACCAGAACTGAGCCAAAAGTTGGGCACGTTATTTCGGGACCTTCTAGTCTTAGAATTACCTCTATGGTTGCATCAACAATCAATACGAAACTAACGATTTTAAATTGGCTCACCACTTTAGTAGCCTATTGGTCCCAAGCAAACGATTAACGTACCCTATTCTAGTTGAAATTCTATTACTACACTATGTTTGTTTTGATTCGCTATGAAAGTTTGACAGATAACATCAGGGGTGTGTGGATTCATGCAGAACATGCAGGGGTGAGTGAAATAGCTTGGGACTGCTTGGGACCGTTGTTCTGGTACTGAGTGAGCCAAAAATAATAATGATTTTCTTCGGGACCCAGTGGTCTTAGAGTTACCTCTATGGTTGCATCGCGCTTATGAGCGGCGCACTTCGACCGTAAAGGGCCACCCACATTAGATCCGTTTGCGTTGCGTTGACTTAAATTTGACAGTTAGACAATAGATTTAGCTGTCACTTTGCCACAACGCGTCCGATCCGGATCTAATGTGCGTGGGCCTTAACGAAATGAGAATTTAACATAAGCGCGACAATAATTAAACACGTTTATATTGTATGTCGTACTACACTATTTTTATCAGTGCAGATACCACGCGAGATGCGAGCAGTGTGACTGTGTCTTCTTTATCGACAGCCCGACACAACCCTTCATCTAGCTCTGCCCATTCCCTCGAAAATGAACTCGAGTAGTTTGGAGAATCCATCTCTTCGTGTCAACTACTGTCAAAAAGCGACAAAGAAAGTCGTCGGTCGTCCTCGTTTCTGGCCGTTTCGTGTGTTTTGTGAAACAATTTTTCCACGGAGTAGAAGTCGTGTCTTTTTCGGAGTCGTAGAAAATAATTTCCTTCCTACTAGTTGCACTTGAATCGTTCCGGACCCATTACCGGTGCAATCACAATGTCTAACCGTGGTGGAAAGAACCGTGGTCGCAATAATTGGAACCACGGTGGTGGCGGAGGCCGCAAATTTTACGAAGGTAAGTGATGCAAGGTTTCCACTGGTGGTGGTCGCCATTTTGAGGAGGAGAAATTTCTGCTGGGAGGATTGGTGTTTACCTTGTTTTCTGCCTATTCTTTTTTTTTCTGTGGGGACAGCTGGAAGCAATAATTACTCGGAACATGACGATCGAGTGGATCGTGATCGGAAGGTGACCGATGTGAAGCGGCGAGTCAGTTTCAAGCCGTTCAGCGGAGGCAGACACAAGGGTGCGAAAATTTCCGACATTCAGATTCGGGCACACCTGGAGGACGATGAAGCGATGGGTGGTGGTGGCATGGGCGGCGATGGATTCGATGGTGATCGGCGGAATTTCAACAAGGGGAAGGGTTTTAATAATGGAAGGCGAAGGGGATCGCCGATTCCGAGAGGTCCGATGGGTGGTGGACAGTTCAGGAAGAAGCTTGTGGCTGGACCGACCAGTTGGTTCGAAGTTAAGATCCCGTATGGTCACAAGTACGAGAAGGATTTTGTTCTGCGCTCGTTGGTGAGTGCCATCAGTCCGTTGATATTCATTCCACAATATTGGAAGGTGGAGGACACGGCGGTCAGTTTCTACATTGAGGATTTCCAAGCGGCGGAAGCACTACAGAAGATTGATCGCACAATCGGGCTTCCGGATGGCCGGAAGATGATTGTTATTGTGCGGAACAGCAATCCGCAGTTCCAGGTTAATGAACAGCTGAAGGAACGCATGAAACTGGCCATGCAAAAGCGCTACAATCCGGCAACTCGAGCGTTGAATTTGGAAAAGTTCCACACTGATCCGGATTTGAGCGATATCTTTTGTGCACTGTTCCGGCCGCAGATTATGCTGGCCGCGTTCGATGTGATTAAGGACAACATTCCCAATTTGGAAGCGCTCAATCTGAATGACAACAAACTGCACATGCTAGATCACTTTAAGCAGCTGGCACAGAAGGTGCCCAAGCTGAAGATTCTGTACATGGCTAACAATAAGGTGAGGGTGGTGGATGGTTGAGTGTTGAATTGATTTTTAATTGAAGATTTTCGTTGTTGCAGATCCCCTACGTTACATCGTTGGACAGTCTTAAAGCGCTGTCTTTGGTGGAAATCAACCTGGAGGGCAACCCGCTGAAGGACCGCATCAAGGACCAGACGGTCTATGTCAGGTATTGCTTAGGTTCTGGTAGCTCCGGTGCTACCGGCACCATCTTTTCTTCCCTATCTATATGTGTCAGTGTTCCGTCTGGTGCGGTTTCTTTGTCGTCCCCGACCATTGAGGAGGAGGAAGAGGAGGAGACCAGGCAGCAGGTGGACCACAGTGATGGTCGTGATGGCGTGGGTTGAAGTAGTGAAGTGAGTGACTGAATGATGACCATTTTACGAATGAAATGTGCGAAGACAGTGCCCTATCCTGATGGGGTGCGTGTGTAAATCACGGCCGGATGTTGCTGGTGGCTCAGGCGTTGTTTGCACGATCGACGCCGGAGTGGATACAGGTTTACTACGGCCTACGGCTACTGGACCAGGCCATTGCCATCATGAACTATGAAGGGGTTTTGGGTTACAGCTTAAGACAGTGTTACTTGAAGTTTCCATGGTCTGTAAATGATATAAAAGTCTCATTAGTACCTACTCTGTCAATTTGACTGCCTATCAGAATTTCAAAATTCGAAAATGTGTGAATGATTAAAAACTAAACCAAACACATCCATTTAACGCTGTTTTATCCAAAGTCGCGGAATGTTTTAAGTAGTCCAAATGCATCGTTACTCTAATTGGATAAAAGAACGTTGAATTAGGTGTTTTAATTAAATTTGTTTAGAACTACTTATTGAATGTAGTGTCTGTAAGCTTGCAACTCAATTTCGTTTACAAAAACGTTGTATTTTGATAGATTTTATATTTTCAAAGGAAGGTATCGCCCGGTACGATCATCTCTAATACAGAAGGGTCAATTAATGCAGGTTTTGCCAATTACTTTTAGGTAGGTAGCTTCAAAGAGAAAAAAAAAACAAGCAATCAAGTTAGATAGCAAAAATTACAAGCGACTGTAAGGCACTTGAAAATTGTATAGTTTACAACAGTTAGTTGATAAGAATTGTAATTCTGACGGTTTCTCACATCGAAAAAATGAAAAATTAAACCGAAAAAAATACCTCGGTAAAGATTACCGCTCATAACGGATGTTCTCCAACTGATAGAATTGATAAGCGTAAAAGTTGACCAACGGTGTAATTCACCGAAATACGATCTTAGGCTCCAAAAAGAACACATAATGGTTCATTGGCAATACACCTGACCCAAACCAGAGGAGGTAGCTGTGCTGCTGAGACACACAAAAACAGTTGTCGTCACCACCAAGGACAGTGACTACCGTTCACAGCTGAACGTGTCTTGCACAGCAGCCAGTACCTTACCAAACAAAGAAGGGTATCATTGCCAAATCAGCTGCTTACTCCAGTAGCTAGAAGCAACTGAGACAGCAGCAGCAGCAGCAGCATCGATCAAACGATTCCACAAGTTGGAGCTAAAGTCTGCGCTGCCATTAGAGTACATCGGTGGGAAGGGTGCAGCAACTCTAAATCCTTCGATCTGACCACGGTCAGGTTCGATTTGCAAGCTCAATCCTTAAATCAACTACTGCTTCCATGCGTGGACAACCGCAATGGGGGGAGGGGGGTATCTCCCAATCATACGCTCGCTGGGGAAACAAAAATGGGTTGGTCAAACAGTATCGAATTGTTTCAGTCTGAGAAGTCTGCTTTGAAGCAAAAGAAGTAATCAAAAAAAAAAAAGAAGAAGAAAGCAAGATAAAAAATATTTGTTTAGTCAAAAAAATGCCAAACAACATTGAGAAACCGGATGAAATTTGCAGTAGACAATAGGATGTAATTTCATGGAATCAATTAACACAGAAAATAATACACGCTAGGAAACACGTAACGAGCAAAATTTGCATTTATTTGAGGGACAAGAGTAGGCAGAACCGAGTGATACCTTCTTCTTTTCCGGTGCCAAAATTTCGAATGGGAACATGTACATGCCACACCCAATAACATACGAGATTGAACTGAAAGCTTACAGACCGTATGTGCTCTGAACTCAGAATCGGCACTGGTTATTGAACCCATACGGTGGTGAAGTTGGTTACTAATCTCATTTATTCTTTTCTCTATTTGCGTATAGTGAGGTTCGTAAGCGCCTGCCTAAGATCATCAAGCTGGTAAGTATTATTCCTATATGCTGTATCTGCACTTGCAGTAGTTCTAAGTATTTTCTATAAAATAGATTGATTGTGGTACATTTTTGCTGATTGATTTGGAGAGGTTTGGTTCGTTCGTGCTCTAGACTGCCTTAAAATGACGGAGACGCAAAGTTCACAAAATTTTAAATGGAATGAGATTCTTATACGTTAACCGAGCTGCAACAGTTAAAGCCAAAACGTCAAGTAGTAAACGCTACACGGAGAATCGAAAGAATACAAAATTAAGTCTTTTCTACTCAGCTTGGCAGCTAAGTGCAACCAGTCAAAATTGAGTTCTTTGCGAAGTGTCCAAATTTGAGTTGTTTAATAAGACTTTGTTTCGAGTGAAATGTAACTGTTTCATTTAGAGTGTACGTTCGCTGAAAAGTACCTAAAACCGGGTTTTAGTAGTAAAATTTACGTTTATCTGCTGGTTTTTTTTTACGTAGGACTACGTCTGTGATTTCTATATGGGGGTACACTTCGCGAAAACCAAAAATGGAACATGTAACAAAATTATGAAAGATTTTGAACGTTAATAACTCAGCTGCCCCTGGACCAATTTCAATAATTTTATCACCAATCGATCAGAAATATATCCACTTCTTCTTCTTCTTCTACGCATTTCAAGCTTAATGCTTTTCGCATTTTAGCTTATTGCGTGCTCTAAACTTAGTGTTCTAGATGCACTTCCACAGTTATTAATTGAGAGCTTTCGATGCCTGTACCATTTTTGCATTAGTAGGGTATACGTCCCTAACCTCGGTCTAATATGCAGCCATCGATTACGTTTTTAATCATAACTCATCAATGAATTTACCTGCAAACGATATTCTACTGCTAAATGGTATGCTTAGATATGCTTATCATGTCGTTTGCTATCAGAAACCACGAAAAGTTGAAAAACTTACTTTTTTTAAGACAATAACTCACGAGGGAAATGTATGTAATATGGGTCTATTGTCCCCAAATTGGGTCTATTTATGGATGCAACTTCGTCCTATCTTGTTTGATCCTCAAAAAAACGCTCTTGGTAACGTTTTCTGATGTATTTTTTTTTATCACTATCACTGTTAACTTAATGCTCTTCATTCCTCAAAACATTTCTTAGAGAAAATTTTACGAAAACTACATTAAATCACTCAATTTAAAAATTTAAAATTAAAAATTTCGCTTATCGTCTTTTGACCGCAGAATATCTAAATCAGAACATTGTGATGTTCATTATACAGGTTTGGCAGAAAAAATCTCCCTTCCTGTTCGTTCCTTATCATCCAAATGCAAAACAACATTGTTGACGTTACTCTTATTGCTATATGCTGTCAAATGAATTTCATGGGCCATAGTTAGGAACATAGAAAAGAAATGTGTCCCTAAAGTTGGGTCCATGTTTTACTTGTGAAAACGTTGTTAAACAATTAAAATAAACATAAAATATTCAAACAGCAACTGTAAGTTTTACGTCTAGTGTGTATTATCAGGTAATTCCAATCAATAAATGCCATAATCAGGCCATTTGATGATCGTCAGTCAACCTTCCCATCTTAACCTTATAAGTCATGGCGGCTAAAAACTCCGAACATTGTGATATTCTCAACCAGTTTTATTACTTACGAGAGCTGAAAATGTATTGAAATGTTGTGATATAAATTGATTTGTGTGTGGTACACATTTATCAACCATCAGTGATCAATATTTTCCTTATTTTTTGTGTAATATTCCTTAATTAATTATTTATTTGCGTGATAGGCCGAATGAAAGGACTAGACCCACATTACATACCGTAACCCTATAATATTGTGTGGCAAAGTACAATCATACTCTATATGCCCTGGGAAGTCGAGAAATTTTCCAACCCGAAAAATTCCTAGACCGGACCGGGAATCGAACCCAGCCACCTCCAGCATGGTTTTGCTTTGTAGCTGCGCCTTTACTGACTGAGCTAAGGAAGGCCCAGAAATATATCCACGCAAATGTTTAATTTGAGACATTATCATTTTTCAAAATGTCACTATTGAAAATTGCACGAATGTGCAACTGTTGCTATGATAATTAAAATTATCACCGATTGCCTGCGAAAAGCGATTTCCCTAACACAGATTTCAAAATTGAATTCCATCGGGTCTCACCAAACGGTGTTTATTCAATCACCGCGTGGTGAGTGGTTGTGTTCTTCAGTACACAACGAAAGGCTCCCAAGCAAGCAACTAGCTATCATGGCTGGTCTCAACCGCTGATCGGATTCAGTTTCAATCACCGTGTGTATTTGATAGCCGCACCGCTATTGATCGGAATCAGTAGCTCTTCGTGAGTCGCTGTGGGCCATCTATGTCAAGTGCGTCATACTAAAGAGTATAAACAGAATCAGAAGGAACCCCGCTCAAATTCCTATTCCTGCACAAAACACAAGCTCCTGCTGCAGTTAACAAATAAGATTTATTATATAAGATCACGTAGTCCTACGTCACCATTGCGTACAACCCCATAGGGCTGTCCCTTGTAGTTTTGATTTTACCATTTCAATTGGTTAGCCTTTGGCTCTTCATCTTTGTTTTAGTTAATTGGTTATTCTAATGTGATGATTGCGTTTAGCGCTAATTTACATCATACCCTTTTAAGGGCTTGTTTTCGTTTGAATTTAAAAATTTGATAACCTACGATCGTAGTGAGCTGTGCTCGAAGAGAGACTTAGAAAATTTTCAGCCGTCAATTTTTGCTCCGTTTTTTCTAGACTTTTGTGAAGTTGTAATTAGTGTTCCTTCAACTATTTGCCATCCCAGAGTTCTTAAACCACTGATCATCTCGGAACCTAGCACCATTGGTTGTTCTTTGTGGCTCTTTGTGTTCCTTACAAGTGGGTCAGATTCTCCGATTAGCAGCCTGAATCCATTCAGCCACAATTGTGCTTTCATCATCTGACTAATCAACTGATTGGCCATACAGGATTTTTGGTTCGCTTGTCCGATACTAAGAATAGGAAAACCTATTTTCGAGCCCAGTCAACCAACCCTTGAGTATGGAGATCACTGTAACAAGACATCGTTTATGGATCAATTTGGTGAGTCCGTTGCAATTTATTCTGGTGCTAATAATTGGCAGGATCCAATATTGGACAGTTTGATGTTTATAAAGTACTATCAGTTAAAACTGTGTTTTTGAGATTTGTCTATATATATTCTTTGGTGCTTCCTACATCGGTTGCAGGACAGTGTTACCGATTTATATTGGATAATCCAAAGCTATGTTGATCATTTTAACATTAAATTTTGAATAACAACCCTAATAAACAAATACCATAAACGAACTGTATCTCGGATAGGTAAACCATCCCACATAGGGTTTGGATGATACCCCGAACACGTCGTTAAGCTCTCTTTTATGGTTATTTTTATTAGGGAAATGATAAGACAATCTTATTCAAATGTCGTAATAATACCTCTGACCAAGGAAGAATGATTTATATAGTTTTCATAAAAGTTGACGATACAAATACTAATGAGGAAAGGAATTCCGCATTTCCTTTTCCCAAGTCCTTTTCCTCTCCTTCCCTTCCCTTCTTCTCTTTTCAGAAAGCGAGTAATGGCGCTATAACCATATGCCATATAGGGCTAGGACAAGAGTTAGTGCTCAGGTCCCAACCGCTAGAAGAAAATGGTAGCGAGCAAGGGCGCTATAACCTAGGCGAATACAGCATTCCCTCCGTATAGGTTACGTCCGCACACCGCTCTCTGTTGTCCTTCGACTGAGGTCGGCTGGATCGATTGAGGGATCGCAGTGGGTTGGCGGTGCCGTCCACGCTTGTACGGAGGGAGGACTGTACGCTCGAACACAAGGGGTAAATACCTGTGTTCCATCCCAGGAGATCGGACAACCAAGGAGTGTACATTAACTTTCTTAGCTCTGTCACTCCCAACGATTTATATAGCCTATTTTCAAATCCTGCATACGGAGCGGTTGGTACGGTATGTCCCCGCTCTTTGATTACCTGTGGATTAAATGTTAACCACTGTCTATACTTATTAAGTAGACATGGTAAACATTCACTTCCACAAAAATTAACTAAACGCTACACAGTAGGCCTGGCCGCTTTATTGTTTGTTTTACATCCTTGATGTGCAGCAGGCATTAATAATGACAAGAAAAATGATAGATGTATCATTTTCCAGGATTCTTTCAAGTACTGGCTGTGTATGTGTAGACTAGACTAGACTAGACTAGAATTTAAAAATTTGATAACCTACCTACTTAACCTAAAGCTTAACCTAACGTGCCAGATTCCTAATGATCAGCTGATCGGATTGCCTATAGCCACTTTTGGATGGTAGCTGTTTTCCGTAACTCCAGCGTCTGAAGACCAGTCAGGCGATGGGCCGGGCCTCAGAGTTCCTCATTCGTGGAGGACTGTTGAGGATCATCCTCAAAAACTTGTTTTGGACCCTTTTTGTAATTTGAGGTGATGGGAGTTTGCGCTACTCTCCCAGATTGGCATACCGTATTCTATTACAGGAAGGATAATTTCGAAAGTGAGCATGCATAAGGGCGTATACGCGATGATCGATACTCTTCATTGATTTTCTCTTTGCATTGCTACAGCTAAGCGAAACAATTTTCTAGAATTTGTTCTATGCAGAGTTGTAACAGTTATGGTCAACGAAACGAAAACGGTCAAGTAACCGGTGACGAAACACATTTGCTGATACGTTAAAGTCAAATTCGCAATAAAAGTAGTTAAATTGTCGGCTGATTGCACGAATTGGCTCATTCTGCGTATAATTTCTGCCTCGTGGCTCCAAAAACAGAAATTCGCGTTGACGAAGAGGTCTCTCAGGAGCATACATATTTAGCTGGGCCAGCAACGTTGGACAGTCGATGTCACCCGTCAGAAGCTTTCCAGCAAACATAGCTTGAGCGACCGTCCGTCGCACCACTAGCGGTTCGATGCCCAGAAGACGGCAACGCTCCTCGTACGGTGGCAGGTT